GATTACTTAAATGAATTTAAAACATGCAAAATTACTAATTCTATAAGTCGATTTAAGACATTGATCTTCATAAAATCAAGTTACAGTACTTAAAAGTTGTATTTTTATTATTTAAAATGATAAATCAGATAAAAAAAAAGTAAAATTTTATGTATTTAAATTTGTTTTAAAACATTTCTAATGTTTTTATAATAGTAATAATATACTCGATTAGTCATTAATCGATTTTGCGAATAATAATCGATATGTTATTAAAGATCGATTTTTGTAAATAATCGATTAATAAAATCGAGGAGTTACAAATTTCACTAATTTTTTGTATAAAAATTGATAGATAATCCTACGATTCAATTGCCATAATTAATTGATAATCGATTAATAAATTAATTTCGATATTTAGTAAGATTTTATATGAAATCGATCAGAATTAATCGATTGTTTTAATATCAATTTCTATAATTGATTGGAATCGATTATTCGTGATTGCGCTAATCGATTTTTTGTTACAAAATCGATTATTCGATTGTGAAACGGAAAAATCCATTTCAATAAAGTGTAATCTTGGAATTAAGCACGAAGAATTTAATAATCTAAAGTGAAAAATAATTTATTTTAGGAATAATTTCAGGAATTTTTGCGATTTTTCCCGTTATTTATATATATTAATTTCTGAATTTTTGGCAAATTTCATAACTTTTAAACTCAAACAAAAATACGGAATTAATTTTAGAAAGTGTGAAAAAAATAAATAAGTAGTTTTAAAAATAGTTTATATAATGTATATAAATTATTTAATATTTAACTGAATAAAATTATTATTGAATCAATATAAATCTAATTAAATAATAATAAATAAATATCAAATTTATCTTTAAAAGTACACTTTAAAATAATTAAATTCATAGATTTTAAAGAAAGAAGAAGAATTAATATTGGGTGTGGTTAATTATATAATACAGGAATAATTTATAAAATTAAATATTCAAAAAGATTTTAAATTTAACTAAATTCAATGATTTTTAAAAAGAAAATGCCATCATCCAAACAGTAGAAAAAAAAACATTAACATGTGCATTCTCACAGTTATATGTTACAGCTTATCACACTGCTGCCAAAACAAACTAAATTATCTCAACATCTTTTTTCTCTTTCTTCTTCTTCTCCTACCACTTTTTTTAATATTTTTCCTTAATAAACAGACAAAAAACTGACCCTTTTATATTGTTTTTCATAAGTAAATGATACAAGAATTTCTCCGAATTGAATGTAGCGTGCTTAATTTATAAATCGATTTTTTAAGTGAAATATAAACTAACACACTTTCTTCATTAAAGTGTTTTCATATGTTAAATTTAACTCTTTCTACGCTTTAAACCTACTGAATATCTTCTATATATATGCAGCTGGGGTATGAATAGGTGTTTCAAAACAAGATTTCTTCATTAAATATAGTAAACATATCAAATTTTACTGTAAAAACATGTCTAATTTTAAAATCTTTTGTGTAGTAAATTATATATTAACCATTTACTACTTAAAATTAGAATTTAAGACCCCTAAATTAATTCAATTCTGCAATTTTGTAATGGCAAATAACAAATTTGGTTGTTGTAATTCGTGTAAATTAATTTATTCTAGGTTATTTTTAGTGTAGGAGGGGGTTTATTACTTTATACATAAGAGGAAATTCATGTTAAATCTTCTAGAGAATTTTTAATTCTGAGTACTTATAGGTGATAATTTGCATGACATTTATGTCACATCACATAATTTTGATTTTAAATTAGAAAAAAAAATCTTAAAATATCCTGGAAAATTTTTGTTTTTTTCTTCTTCTCTACCTTTAAATTTCTCCTCATTTTCTAAAATAATTAGTTGAGAAATTCAAAATTAAATTCAGAATTTAGCAGCAATATCTGCCTACTCACTGCTGACAAAACCCTAACATTTTCTATAATTAAATAAAGATTTTCAACTCTAAACTATAATTACATTATACTAAAGTATAATTATTAGTAATTAAATAAAGATTTTCGACAAATATTTTACAAAAAAAAGGCCGTAAACACTCGATAAATTTAATTCCTTTTGCTATGGAAACCTCACACGTTTAATTAATTAATTTTAGCACTTTAAATACAATTTAATTACTTTTTAATTAAAGAAACTTTGTATATACAACTGCATTTAGTAATTCTACAAAATAAATATTTAATTTACCCATAAACAATGTTTAAAATAAGTCAAATAAAATGTCGTGACCGCTATTGGATTTTTTTCAACACATACATTATGTAAAAGTGTCATGTCTAGTTTAAGCTATTGACAAAAAAGTATTTTCTCACTTCCTTTTCAGGTTTCTGAGGTTTAAAAATCAATAAAAACTAGAGAAAGCAATAAGAATCTTCAACACCCAAACCACTTTTTAGCATTGGAAAGCATCTAAGTCATTGAAAAAGTACTGTACATAGAAAAAGCATTATATGAAGATTTCTTAACAAATATCTTTCATAGAATTGATTTTTTTTTAGTGAATAAAAATAGAAAAAATGTAGAAAAATAAAATAAAAATGAGAATTTGAAATGTGTAATTGAATTTTATAACTATTAAGCTAAGTGAAAAAAATCTACATTGAAGACCAGAATAGAATCCATAGAATTGATGTAGTTAAAATGTAATTTTAGAGTCTTAAAACTTTTTTGGAATTTAAATATTGTCTATTAAATATGTTAAATTCCTTGGGATTCTATCACATCTCATTTTTCTGTCTGACCTACTTTTTTTCATAGATTAATCACAGAATGATGCATATCGTTCCACCAGAATCCTGCATATCTTATTTTGAATGATAATTTATCATTATGTTCTATTTACAAAAATTAAATTATTAATTTTTTTTAAAAATTCAGGATTTCTTTTTCAAATTTTAAAATTGCAATCTTTAATATTGATCACCTATAATTAAAAAGAATCCTTTAATGAATCCTGGAAGCTGTAATTTAGGTTAGTGCATCCTTGGAATCTGATCAAGACTCAATTTATAGTTATATTAGCCTGAGATATAGCTTTCTATGATTCATTAAGGATTCATAATCTGTATAATTAATTTTATTTTGAATATTTGGTTCACACTGTGAATAATCAATTTATACAATAATTTTAAATGTAAAATATGTTTAATTTTGAGTAAATATGTTTATCTCAATCCAAGAAGTCAGTTTTACTTCATTCAAAAATGGATTTATGTATATATAAATGCATTGAAAGTAAGAAATTTTAATTTTTTTCAATAGATTCATTCAATAAAATGTCATAATAATACCCTTTATCCATCCAAAATATTTAAATTTATGCTTATTTAGATATGTTCTTCTACAGGATGTATATTTAAAATCATCAATAAATTATACTTTGTGTGTGTAAATATAAAAAAAAAGGAGAATGTTAACAAGGTTTGTTAACATTTTATCCTCTCCTTCAGACTCCTCTTGTTTATCTTAACTTCCTTGTTCCATTTTTTTTTTTTTTTTTTAAAGCTTAACTGCACCACTCCCCATGTTTATCTTTATACATAAAATATTTCCAATGCTTCTGAGAAAACCCTTGAAGTTAAGTGCACCTTATAAAAATTTGATGTATTAAAATTTGATATGAATGCTTTCAAAATAAAAATAACTCAAGGTTTTGAAAGCAGAAAATAAACTGTAATACGGTATGTCTACACGAGATGCTGTAAGTCAAGGATTCGAAAAGGATCGCCAAGTTCTGAAGTGGGTTATATAAAATATTTAATTAATGCCGTAAGTTCTGAACCATTGAAGAGGACAGACATGGATCAATACATCAAATTTCACTGGGATTAACTTAGTTACTCTTATAACATAACAGCTATGACACGGTTAAAATCAATAAATTAATGCAGGAATGAATGAATTTTGTGCTAATCTAGTGACTTAAGAAGGGTTCCTACAAGCAAAACAACAAACAAACTCTGCTTACCGTCATTATTTTTTTTGGCTGTTTTCAATAAATATATCACAAACTGAATAGTTTAAAACATAAATATGCTTCAAATATTATTTGAATTAGGTAATACAAGAATGTAAGCACTCTTCCAACAGATTAAATTGTGTTTATCTTGCACTATTTGTATATATTTTTACATAATGAGGTTTCAAATTTTCTAAAATGAATTTTGAAGGTTGACAAGTGTTTCTCCTAAATATAGATAGCACCTAATAAAATCAGTTGGTTGGTTGCCAGAATGCCTACCACAAAGGAATGGATAGCAATACTGAAAATATGTCTTTGTATAGATCACATCATACATAAAAAAAATCATAAATATATATATATACATATATATACATCCATTAATGTAATTTAATTAATATAATGAATCATTTTAGACTTTCAAATAAATAACTTTCTTTCGGCATAAAATTATAATTTATTATTTAATAATCTTAATTCTTTTATTTAAAAAATATTTAATTATTTTTTG